CTTTTCTGCAATAAGAAGTTAGTACATAGGGTCTGAACAAAGAGACCTAAAAGAGACCTAACACTTTTTTATTAGAATAAAAAAAAGTTTACTTTTGGTATTCACAAATAGCTCATCTTTTAAAAAATTGGTATTGGCCGGGCGCGGTGGCTCACGCCTGTAATCCTAGCACTCTGGGAGGCCGAGGCGGGTGGATTGTTTGAGCTCAGGAGCTCGAGACCAGCTTGAGCAAGAGCGAGACCCCGCCTCTACTAAAATTAGAAAGAAATTAATCGGCCAACTAAAAATATATAGAAAAAATTAGCCAGGTACGGTGGCGTGTGCCTGTTGTCCCAGCTACTCGGGAGGCTGAGGCAGGAGGATCACTTGAGCCCAGGAGTGTGAGGTTGCTGTGAGCTAGGATGACGCCACGGCACTCTAGCCAAGGCAACACAGTGAGACTCTGTCCCAAAAAAAAAAAAATAAACATAAAAAATTGGTATTGATCCTCAAAATAATGAATTCTATAAGTGTAATAATGGTTGAAGTTGATATTGATTTTAATAAATGCTGTATGGAATATGTACTACTTTGTAAAGAAATAGAACTTGTGCTACTTTGTGTTGTTCAAATTGATCAGTGTATGTTTACAGATACAATGATTTACTGTTGATATAGTTCATTTCTTTAGTAGTCATATTGAGTGCCTACTAAGTAGCCTAGGTATTATACTAGGCAGAGAATGACACAACCCTTACTTCAAGTTGTTCATAGAAAAATAGGGGAAGACAGACAAATAGATATATAATAAATCATACCATGAGATGTATGATATTATATATAAATATGTAAGAAATCATAGTTTTTAGTAGAGACAGAGTCTCGCTCTTGCTCAGGCTGGTCTTGAACTCCTGAGCTCAAATGATCTACCCGCCTTGGCCACCCAGAGTGCTGGGATTACAGGTGTGAGCCACCGTGCCCGTCCTAAGTGTTTTTTTGTTTGTTTTAGAAAGACAAGGTCTCATTTTATTGCCCAGGCTGGAGTGCAGGGCTGGAGTGCTGTGGCTATTCACAGGCACGATTATAGTATACTCTACACCCCTTGAACTCCTGGGCTCAAGTAATCTTCCTGCATCAGCCTCCTGAGTAGCTGGGACTGCAAGCATGCACCACCCCACCTGGCTCTGAACTATGTTTTAAAAAATGATTTAAGAGTAAGCTAGATGATAGGGAAGAGTTGGGGGCAGAGAAGACAAGAGAATAGCACAGCACCTAAAATTGTAGAGGTGAGATAGATGAAGGAGATATGAGAGTGTGGCACAGGAGAAGAGGACTTCAGGTAGTTTGTTTGGCTATACCACAGGAAGAAGGAATTGGTAAGAGATGTGACTAGGTTAGATGATGTTACATTAATGAATGGATTTATGCTGTCTAAATTTCTTGATTATAATAATTGTAGTAGTAGAAATAGTGATAGCAAAAGTGGTAGCTATAGTAACATTTATCAGATGTATCTCATTATCTCATTTAATTCTTACACCCTTCTTCTCTTTTTTTTTTAAATTGAGACAAGAGTCTTGCCCTGTTGCCTGGGCTGGAGTGCAGTGGTGTGATCATAACTTGCTGCCACCTCGAACTCCTGAGCTGAAGTAGTCCTCCTGCCTCAGCCTCCCGAGCAGCTGGGATCATAGGCGTGTGCCACCATGCCTGGCTGCTATCTTTTTTTCATAAAGCATTTTTATATTTGAAAAGCTAAAACTAGTTTAAGGTAGCATTATTAGAAACTTCGTTAGTAAAGTCATCCTTTGCCTTAAATTTGTAGAAATATATGGACCATAGTTAATATCATAGGTTTTTTTCTAATAGTCAAGTTAATTTTTTAAACAGTTTTATTGAGGTATAAATGATACACATTAAGGTATACATATTTAAAATGTACAATTTGATAAATTTGACATTTGTATACACCTGTGAAACAAACACCATAATCGAGATAATGACCATATCTGTCACCTCCAAAAGTCTCCTCCTGCCCCTTTGTAATTCCTGCCCCTTGGCCCTCTTTTCCCCCTCTTTCCCAAGCAAGCACTTATCTGCTTTCTGTCACTGTAGATCAGCTTGTGAGTTCTTTACATTTTTAAACATCATCTTGGCTCTATTCTGTATAGTTTCTTTAAATATGTTACTTCAGGAGTGAGTAATATTTACCAAAGTTCCAAACACATATACCGTTCCCTTATCTAACACTTTATCTTAACAGGAACTCTGGTGTTCATTTTGTAAAGCATCTCTAAGAAGTTCAGCAGCAGAATATCTAGAATAGATATTCATGAACTCATCATCTCACTCTGTTATGGGTATTATCACATTACTTTGCCAAAAAATATATTTCTATGTCATTATTTTAAATGGCTGCATAGTATTCTGTTCTATTACTCATTGTGCCTTTTTTGAGACAATTCCTCCCTACTGAACATTTAGATTATTTCTAGTTTTTTGATATTCAAACAACAAATATTTACCAAACTCTGTCAGGTAATGTTCAAGGCATCAACTTGAATAAGATCAGGCCCCTGCTGTTAGGAATTTACATTCCAGAGGAAGACAGATGAACCAATGAACCAATGAGGCTGTTAATAGATTTTAGTCAGCATTGTGAAGGAAATAAATGGGAGAGGTGTGATTGGGTTATGGGGGAGGGAGGACGGCATGCTTTAGACAGGCAGATTAGGGGTTAGGGAAAACTTCTTTGAAGAAGTAGCCTGAAAGATGAGAAGAGCAGGAAAAATATCCTTGGAAGATGGCATAGTAAAGGCGAAGACCATGATGTGATGACTTATTCTTCATTCATGGACTAGCAGTTAAAGACATAACTTTTGAGGGACTGTACTTAATAATCTTTTTATAAACAAAGGAAGGGAAACTGATTTTCCAAATTTACACCAAAATGCTATGTGAAGAGAGATACATTTCAGAAATATAAAACATAGTGAGTGATGCCAGTTGACTTCTTATTAAAAATATGTATATATTAATATATACTGAGTGAGTAGATAAAATCTCAGCAGACAAGTTTATTTGGGCTACTATAGTAAAATGCGACCAATGAAAGAAATGACTAATGGAGTTATTGAGGTAATGGATAAAATGATAGGAGTGTTTGGGAAACAGAAATATGAGATTTATCCATTTATTCGACAAATGTTGAGTATCTACTATGTGTCAGAAAATGTTCTAGTCATTATGGACACAGGAGTAAACAAAACAGATAAAAGTTTCTCCCCTAATGAGTAATGAGTAAGTTTACTAATGAGTAAATGAAGATAAAATGGTAGGCAGGTAATAAGTATTTTGAAGAAAACTAAAAAATAATCTCTATATTTTAATAGTTATTAAATTATTTCCAACATGTGTTATCCCGGTACTTACAACTTTATTCTGCTATATGTGGGGAAAAAAAATCATCTAATGTACCTACATATTTCAGTCTTATTTGTGTATTACCAGGTTGTATGTGGGAGTGATCTTATTCACTCTTATGATTTTTAACTGGCATCTATTTGTAGTTAATATTTGGAACTACCTTTTCACACAGAATCTTGTTTTATACCATTTTTATACTTCAAATGAAATATCTTGTAATAAATTCAAGTTTAAATTCTTAAGAGAGATTAATCACACCACCTCCAACCTACCCCCAATCTGCCTCATATAATCATCATGTTTTTGGGTTATATCATTGTACATGTCCTAGATTAGATGCTCCGTTGTCATCTATTTTAGTATCTTAGCTCTCAGCCTGGGCCCAAGGACAAAGATGTATATAGTGGCCAGCAAAGAATTATTGATTTTAACCGTAGAGCTAATAAACAGGAAATGATTAGGGGAAAAAAGTATAGGATAAATTAAAGATAATTGGGGCTGGGCACTGTGGCTCACGCCTGTAGTCCTAGCACTTTGGGCAGCCGAGATGGGAGGATCACTTGAGCCCAGGAGTTCGAGATCAGCCTGGACAATAGCAAGACCTCGTCTCTACAAAAAAATAAAAATGTTAGCCAGGTGTAGTGGAATGTGCCTATAGTCCCAACTATTTGGAGGCTGAGGCAGGAGGATCACTTGAGCCGAGGAGTTTGAAGTTGCAGTGAGCTTTGATGATGTCATTGCACTTCAGCCTGGGTGACAGAGTGAGACCCTGTCTCAAAAAATAAATAAATAAAATAAAATA